GCTCTGACCTCGCAATACGATATATATACACTGTTCGCATTACTTGTCGCATGCGCGATGTCTGAGAAGTATGCAGACGTTTACGCAGGTATGAGTATACATAATCGTATACACATATACTCTAGCAAACATACCACGGTGTGGTACCTGTGTAATAAGAATCTACATAGCTCCCTATCTCTCTCTATATATTCCACACATGCCCACAAGCGCCACACGCACGGTTACCACTCAGGGGCGCGCATCCACCCAGGGTAACACGATTAGCTTTCTGCTGTGTAAACTCTATGAGCTCTTGGGTGGGCTTTCCTCTCACTACAACGACTATGTTCTCCCTCTCTGTACATTTAGGGCATGGGGGTCTAACTAGCTTTGCATTCCAATCCGTCAAGTCTGACATTTCCGCATTTGAGTTGTGTACTGGCTAGTGGCGACTGAGTCTACACTCTACTGGCCACCGCTGCGTATCTAAGTACGTCTTCAGACTAAGTTGCCTTCCACCTCGCTACTCTCTCTCTCTAGAATTAAAAGAATATGTAGATTGTAGTAAATATGTATATAACTATTCCCTTGGCTGTTGTAAGTATTACGATTGGTGTAATAATCCCAACTATCTCATATTGCGATATTTTAAAAAACCCCCCTAAATATTCCGTATTGTGATTTTTCGAGTGTTTTTAAAATAAAAACTACTATATATTGATTTACGAGTTTCCATTGGTATAAAATCGTAAAAGTTGTAACTTTGCAATTCACGCAACTGCAACAAGTCAAGGCCCTCTGATGAGTCTGAGGCTCTGACTCGGCCCTAATATTTGGTCATTAGGGTCACGAGCAGAAATCAGGTTCCTTACGACGGCAATCATAAATTTCAGCAGTGGCCCAAATCCAGAGGGCCATGAACAAGTCACTAAAGTCAGCAAATCTTTTTGTGCATCAAAGCGTAGCGGGCTACAAAGTCTGAAAAGTATTTACATCTCCCGCCATCTTATGCCCCCCTAAAAATGATGACGCCCAAGAGTCCTATTAGGATGCAGTTATAAATACACGTAAATACACGGTCAGAAACTCGGAATATATAAAGCAACAGGTGGCACTCGGAAGTCTACGTTTTTTTGAACTAGACCTATTCACAATGAGTGTGTGTTCGAGAGTTGTTGTTGTGACTGGTGCCAACAAGGGTGTTGGACATGCTTTAGTACAGGCTGTATTGGACCGCGATTCCTCTGCATTTGTGTTCCTAGGGTCCAGAGATGTAAAACGTGGCGAGAGCGCAAAGGCAGCCATTGAGAAGCACGCAGATAGAGTGCATGTGCTGCAACTGGACATATCAGATGCGATGTCTATTGTAAAGGCGGTTGATGAGGTTAAACGTACATGCGAGACAAATACGCGCATTTGTGCGGCAAACGCAGAGAAGCCCATGTACGCCCTCGTGAACAACTGTGGGGTGTTTCTTGACGATGACTACGAACAGACTCTTAACGTGAACGTACTAGACACCCACAATGTGACAGAAGCGTTTCTTCCGTTGGTTGGCAGTCGCGTAGTTTTCGTCAGCTCTGCATCGGGTCCCATGTACGTGAACAATCTCAGCAAGAAAGGGCAGGCCATATTCACATCGAAGGACAAATCATGGGAGGACATCGAGGAAATCATCGCGATTGTGAAGAAGAACAAGGGTGTACTTGAAAGTGGCTCAAATGCCATTCCCGATCATCTGGAGGGCATCACAGCGAGTAGCAGTCAGTGGTACGGACTCTCCAAGGCGTGTGTTAATCTGTACAATATGCATCTCGCACGCACACACCCTTCACTTAAAGTCCATGCATACACGCCGGGATGGGTTGCCACGGATATGACTCTGACCAAGTTTGGTAAGCGCGATGGCATGATTACACCACAGAAAGCAGCCATCACTGGATTGAAGATGCTCTATGAAGAGTTGCCTGGCAACGGACGCTTTTACGGATCTGACGGAGTGCGCAGCCCACTCGACGCCTATAGAAATCCAGGAGATGACCCATACGTTTCTGACTCTGAATAGTGTGAAAGTATTGTGGCAATTTCAAACTAGGGGAGTGGAGTTCGACACAAATGTATGGGTGTCATCTATGATGTTTATGTGGACGATATTTTCTCGATACATACACGAGGTCATTGCTGGTTTCCGTGCAATACGTGTGTGATTAGCGCAAATAATGGACCCACCTTGTACTCTGGGTTGTTCGACTGTCTAGCAACGCTGAATATACCAAATATATGAAGACGTATATGTATGATTAGTGGATCAATTATTGTTACCATGTAAGTAAATGCATTCAATTCGTTCTCATCTAGAAGAAAACATTTGGAATTATGTGTCCATATGCGAACGTATATAGCATATTATGTATACGCATTTACGTGAATATATTCACGTATATATTACTATACATTGTAATATATAAATTATACATACATTTATATATATCAAAAAATATATTAACAAATATATATA